TTCCTTCCATTTGACAATCTTGGTCATGCCATGGATGATGATCCTCCATTTACCTATCGTCGATTTATAGAGACCAATATTGTTTTCAACTTGATAGTTTGTCAAGACATACTTACCACCTTCTTCAATGTCGCTCATGAATTTTTGAATATTCACAGGTCGAATTATGCCAGTAATTCGTAATCCTTAAGACAACACATATTGAATAATGTAATAAACACAATCATATCATATTATATATTTTTAAAGAAACACAATCATATCACAGGTCGAATTATGAACGTGTGATTATATTACCTCAGAATTGTGAAAGATAATCTCAAGAACATTTCGGTAATTGCGTACGTCTTCAACTCGTTGGAACATCCTAATTACGCGTATAGCTTGATCGGTGGCTTATTGGATCTTTGAATATCCTTGATGACTCCGAAATTCAAAGGCATTTTGAATGATGTTGTAAAAGCTTCGTGAAAAAATTGTATCGTGGGATGTATTGAATGTCAAATGTTTATTGTTCAATATTGGTGTTGTTTATATAGTCAAGTGTATGTAATATACACAACTCACGTGGATTTCAGAGATATTATCCGATAAGTTAATTTTTTATGTGATTATGATTTTGATTTTTTAACATATTATATGTGTTACGTTTTTGGTAAAAAAAAAATAATAATAATAATAATGTGGCAAGTGATTCAATTTGTGAGAGATTTGTTAACAAATAAATTCCTACAAAATCGTATCAATTTGTTAAGGAATGTCGATCACTTCTGTGATGAAGACAATGTTGCAAAAAAAAAAAGGAGTTTGTTATTATTCAATTTGGTAAGTAATGTACGATTACATTTTTTAAGATCCCACAAAATCCGATAAATTTTTTTAACAAAATTAGAAATGGTGATCCCACAAAATCCAATAAATTGTTTAACAAATTTCCAAAATGCAAGGATGGACGGATCAATTAGTTACGTGATTTATGTAATTTATTAATCATTATTTTTATGTTAATTAAGTAAACGTGTGGGACCTACATATTGTTTAACAAATTTTCTTTTTTTTTTCCAAAACGACAGAATAAATATATAAAAGGCGCACAAATGTGCGGAATTACAAACTGGAAGGCTAGACTGAAGTCCGCCTAGATTCGCTGGCAACACTAGAGAAAACCTAACTCAAACAACGAACAACTAGAAACTGGCTCCCAACGGGGGAAAACACAACTAAAACACAATCACAAAACTAAAAGCTCCCAACGGGAGAATGCCTAGGCGTTGGCTCCCAATAGGAGAATAAAGGTAACACCTAGGTTAACAGGGGCCAACGGCCCAAACCAAAAACACAAAAACACAAAAAAAAAAAATATAAGACACAAA